AGAGCATAGTATATAGAACAAAAATAAAATATACAGCAAAATTAGTAGTTGTTTGCATCAGAAATAATGATAAATCTCTTCTGCAGAAGGTCAACTCCAAAAGTTTTTTTTTCCTCCAGTATTTATGGTAAGAATAGATACATACTGTCATGGGAGTCCATATTCACAAGGCATGAATCTTTCACATTAGAGAGCATTCTAAAGCCAGAGGCCAAAAGATTATGCAAATTTTGGTTCTCATCCAAGACATCCAAACATATGTTTCTCTGTAGCTTCTAAAAACAACTACTGTGTCAGAAGGAATTATCATCATGGAGCAATCCAACTATCAGGGTAGTTCATTGTCCTATCTCTTCTGCAGCCTCCCAAAGTGTATAGAATAGTTTAGAGAAATTCTTTTGACCTCTATCCAAGGTTTGCAAAGTAAAAAAAAAAAAAACCACTCATCACAAACTTGGTTAAAATGCATTCAGTTGTATCTATGATCTGTCTTATTATTCATATATTATTATATTCTTATTCATATATTATTATTCATATTCTTATTTGTGGATATGATGTTACTGCTTATGACAATCCTCTGACAATAAGTCTGTAAGCTAATTAAAAGCTATATAAAATGCATGTAATTTTAGGTACAGAATAGCTAAACAAATTTCTTCATGTTTATGTTAACATTAAAAATAGTCACAAATAAAATGATTGTATCCCAAATAGATCCAAGTTGTTCTTCCTAAATATACCTTCATCCCTCTGTCATAGATTACTCACTAACTTGCCTTTCAGACAGCAGTAGTTTCTGCTCGTGGAGGTATTCCCTTGCATTTCTTAATGGTTACCTTCAAGAGGAGCCTATGAGAGAAAAAGATGAGTTTTTACTGAGGTAGAATAGGTAATCGATCGAGAGTTTCAGTCTGATGGTTTCAGGTGACGGTGCCACAAGCAGGTTGAAAAAGGGGCCCGATGGCAAAAGCCGGTTACAGTTGGAAGTAGCAGCAGAATAGCTTTTCTTTAATGGCCGTATGATAGCTTTTGCACTTCCTACACTACCACCGGCACCAGGCTGTGCTGGCACACTTGCCTTCTAATGGCTTCTGTGGTCTAGTGGAAGGATGTAGAATTAAATATGGGTCTGTTGCTTAGTTTTGGCAGCTCCCAGGGCAGGTTTATTCCATGCTAGAATCTGGAAGTCTCCCCTGAAGACTGCATTTTTAAATATCTCCACTTAAGACCGTTTTTTTGAGAGAGATGGGTTACCAAGCTCTGCTGTGCGCTTGAGAGTGGGTACAGGATCCAGAAGCAGTAAAAAGAGCAGTAAGGACAATGTGAAGGAAACTTGCATGGCTTGAGTTTTTATTAGAGGGCAAGGCTCAGTAATTAGGATGGAGTGAATTTGCTCTTTGATACTGTCCTGTGGCCGGAGAGAAGACGATTGTGATTGGGAAGAGCAATTGCTTCCCCCTGCTGGCTTTTGTAGAACAATGGCAGCTAAATTACCAAAAGGTTCTTTGCACTTAGGTACCTAGGGATAAGTAACTTGTATATGTTACTGTTTGGTATTGATTTGCACATATATGTATATGCAAATATATATATAGACACACACACACACATATATGAAAAAATTCCTAAAAGCAGACCAAATAGTTGAATAGGAGAAGTTGTTTTTGTTGTTGTTTGTGGTTTTTTGTTTTGTTTTGTTACTCCAAAACCCCACTTCTGATCTGACTGGATATAGTGCCTGCATTGCCTGGCAGTCCCAGGAAGAAGGGAAGGAATTAAGGACTATGGGGACATGGATCAAGAAAGACAGACCCCAGGAATGTGTAATCTCAGAATGATCTGTTTTAATTAGCAACAAATCAAGCACTTTTCCGATGGATCTTAGTTATTACTTGCTGATGAATTTTCATCCATGTGTGCTTAAACATCTAATTTTGAACCATTTATTTTCATTTCCTTTTCTCTACTGCCCTTGGTTGACACACAGTTGAAGTCAGGTCTAGTTTTTGTAAGGTTTTTTATGTAATTGTTCACTCTAATACATATTGGTCAGTGTTTATGTTCTTGATGGCCTAGCAAAATGTTTTGACGTATATCTACAGTGTATGCAGCAAGGCAGGAGACTGTTCTGATACATGGACCGAAGTGATTTTACCTTTCTGGGTGGCCTGCTGTGTTTCTTCGAATCCTGGGCTTCATAAAACATATATTCTTGTGGTACGGCTCAGTCCTAGATAAAGAAGAAACCCCCTCTCATCAGTGAAATTACCAAAAACAATACATGGAAAAAAAGAAAAACAGTTACATCTTTTAATTGGCTATTAAGGCTGAGTTTAGTGTGGAGTATTGGAAACATTTACAGATTGCTTGTTGTGAGGAAGTTCTGTGACTGCTTCCTCATCTGTTTAGGATCTTGTTGTTCAATCGGTGCGCTATTGCTATGTGTTCTCCGAATATTTAAAAAACTTTTTCAGTACTTTGTCTCTGTAGTACATGACTTTGAAATACATTCGAAGTCATATGTTAATTCATTGAATTAACAGTGATGAAGGAACCATAGAAGTGTTTGAACTGTGAAGAGAATAGTTAGTGGCTTAGTTGCTGGTAATTAGAATACAAGAAATCAAAGCATAGAAAAAGAAGAAAGGTGATGCCTGAAAGATGATTAAATCATGGAAGAGTAGAGAAAGAAACCAGAGTTTGTAGGATATATAGAAAAATGTAGGTGTGTCCTTGACTGTTTGATCATTTGTCAATAAGTAAGGTCTTGATTTTAGTCAATGTACAATGTACAAGGTGATCTTGACCTTATGAATAAGGTTAAGTTTGTCTGTACAGTGTGCCATATGAAGACAATGGAAAGTTTCACCTGCTGAATCAAAGTATTTGTTTTAAAAGTGTTTTGTTGGTCTGCTGATTTTGGGATCTCTCCAGAAATTTCTAGTTTGTCAAAAAATGTACCCACAATGACAGACTAAAGAGTGTTGCAGCTATTGAGATCATGCAATAAAATTTATATCCACGCCAGACTTTAGAAGTACAAGGGTCCTTTTAAATTCTATACATATATTTGTGCATAAAATATATATTTTAAAGAAACATAAGGTTTAAACTACATTGTATTCAGAGAGATCATATTCTACCAGCTATTGAATTGTTGAAGTTGGCAGGAACTTCCATATAGAGATATTGTATGAAGATAGAGATTTATGCTAGTGGTTTGCACTGTTCATTTTATATGCTATGAGTACATTCAATAAATTATCATTTGATCACTTTTTTTCTTTCTTAGCAGAGGAAGTCCGAAGTGACTGCAGATGCAGCATAAATGGAGAATTAATAGTAAAATGTTGAAAATATGGTAGAGATAATCTGGATAATCTAGGGCCAAATGCATAGAAGAGGTACATCGTATGGCATCAGGTGTGATGGCTTAAAATTTGTCACAACAGTTTCTCACCAGAAATTTTGGGAAGAGACATGTGTGCGCCTTAGCTTTTCCCAGCTTTTCATATACAGTGTCCTTGTGTGCAACAGCCTAAGACCGATTCCATTCTATCATGAGTTACTCAGTTTGGGAATATTTGTCATGGGCAAATCTTAAATAGGTAGGGTTTGTCAGAGTTCTAGCCATTATCCTTTCTTTCTGTTAACTTTCCCATGTGTTTTTCTGTACAGGACAGGACCGTGAACAGAAAACCTTTCTATAATGGAGTTGCTGATGCATGATATTAAAGTGTTCCTCTGAGTGCTGTACTCCGCTGATGTCTCTCTTTCTCTCCGTTGCATCCATTGGATGTCTTCTCTCATCTGGTCTTTCTTTGGTGATAGTGAATCCATTGGTGTTCTCTATCAAGAATTAAGCATAGCCTGGAAGACCTGGACATTATACTATCTTATCCCATTGGTATATTATGGAATATGGTATATTATGGAATATAGTATGCTATGGAACACAAAGCTGTATAATGCAAACTTTGGTGATTGACCATCTTAAATACGAAGAACAGTTAGGAGAACAAAATTATTAAAATACATTTAATTTTACTTCCAAGGTGAATTAAAAGTTGGAAGCTCTCTAGTGAGTACAGACATGGAGAAATAGTGGAAAATAACATTTCTGAAGAGTATTACATAGTTAGAATTCCAGCCCCAGTCATTACACTTTTCTAGATTATGATATTTTAAACTTTGATGATATTTTAATAAAAAGGAGGGATGGGGAAAGGCAGAAAGGAAACTATTGGATTGATCAATCTGCTGTTGTTTCTTTCAGAATTCCAGCATTTTTTCAAAAAGCTCAACTTTCGGGTGTGATAAAGTAGCACAGTAAGTACTTGCTAAATATTTTGTTTAGTAGCATCACATAACATAATGCTATGGTGCTTTTAAGTTTTTTTTTTTTTTCCAAGATCAGTCTTGTGCAAGACATGTCATGTTTTGCAAAGATCCTTTTACAATACCTGTCTGAGAAAACAAGCAGGCGTATTTGCAGAGCTTGCACTTAACTTTATGATTCTGTTCATAGGTGTTTGTTGCTATTTGAGGAGGAGGTTTGGATTTGCCTCAATCCTGCTCATGACAGATTTCAGCATGGTGTATATCTGCAATGTTTTAGAAGTTACTGGTGACTCTACCAGATTATAAAGCATTTGGAAGCTCTACAAAAGAATCAGTTCATGCCACCATGTGTATCTATTTTTTGCCCCGGTTTTGTCAAAATTGCTTATATTCATTTTATGTTTTTCTACATTACTGCTGTGGTTTTGAAGAACTCCAATCCTTGCCTATCTTCCTTTGCTTACCACACTGAGTAATTCAAGCTTTATAGGCATTTCATAAATTTCAATTTTAAAGAAAATAGGCGAGCTGCAATGCTGACTGATTGCGGTGTTTGAGTCCAAACTACAATTACTTACCACTAAGATGCTATGTTTATTCTCTGCTGCTCTGCTCTGAACAGCCATGTCTAATTTCTTCACAGAAGCATGGACTTTGATCACATTATGGAGGAAGGCTATGAACTTGACCTCACATACATCACAGAGCGGATCATTGCTGTATCCTTCCCTGCTAGCTGTTCTGAAGAAACGTACCTGCACAACCTGCAAGATGTAACCCGAATGCTCAAATCCAAACATGGGGATAACTACTTGGTACGGCAAGATTGTTTGTTTCTTCTGCATCCTCTTCCTTCCTGGATGACTTGTAGGTTCATGTATACCATTATAAATCAGACATCAGTCATCATTAGACATCAGACGTCATCTCGTTTCTTTGTGGTCCATGGTTACAGCTTTTCATGGAAGAGCAATATTTTCAGTAATGTTTAATGCCATTAGACAAGTACAGGTATTAAAAGCACTTTCCTGGTGGTGGCACTGCAGTCTCCAATTTGGTAGTGCTGGAAGTCAAATGCTGTAGATTACTTTTAAGAACTGTTTTCACTGAGAAAAATATACTCTTAAAAGTTCTAGATGCCCCACAGTGGAATACGTTCTTTTCCTTTTTTTTTTTTTTTTCCCTAACAGTCAGTCACATCTAGATTCTCAGCTGGGTATCTGATGGTCTCTCACCATCATGCCCTGTCTGCTGTTGTTTTGAAACTGTACCTAAAGGCAGGGCTACTATTTGTTTAGTCCAGCTCTTTCTCATTAAATTGATTTAGATACATTTTTCCTGCTATGTATTTTTCTATAGAAAATTAAGTCATGAGCAAATTTCTGAGCTTCATGCATAGTATATATTTTTATGATGACCCATTTGAGACGCTTATTTTTAATGCTGTTTTCTGCCTAATACATTGAAATCCTATGACTTGCTCTTTAAATGGGAATTTAAACCAAAGCCAATATTTTATTTATTTACCTTCTGCTCTTAAGTGCATTTTTAGGCAACATGTGTAAACTATTCAAGTCAAATCTACATCTTTAGGAGCTGAAACATGATTCATATTAGAAATTAATTTCTGGAATGACTGTAAATAAACAATGAAAATACATCCTTTGCTCATAGAGATGTTATAAATGCATTATACATCCTAAATGCACTTTTACATGAATTTGCTGTTTTGTATCTAGTTATTCTCCCTATTGATTTATGCACATGTTAAAAAATTGTCACTACAGTCCATAGCAAGGACATAGAAGAGAAATGAAAAATCTAAAGGATTAGGTTACCACATTGTTGCCTGTTTTGGTCACAACAGATTGCAAAGAGAATGAATAAAAATTTTAAAAACACAAATATTTCATTTGCTGTAATAATAGGGAATTTCACAGTTTAAGACCAGCATCATTTGCAGTGAAATGGAAATCTCTCCATATCTTAAGCTAATCTTTTCTCTGTTTTGTTGTCCTAAGAAAGAAAAAAAATACTTTTTAAATTAAAGAGTTAAGTTCTCAGAAGAAATCAGACTTTAACAGTGAAAATTTTCAAAACTGAATTTTTATACCATCTGTGTAGCTTTTTTTTGTGTGTTGTGTTTTTTGTTTATGGCCTTGGTCAGCAGAGGGGCATCATGCTGTGTTGAAAAACAGAACCCAGTGTTGTGTTTTATTTATTTATTTATTTATTTATTTATTAGCTTTATTTTTGCCCAGGGTGATCCAGTTGATGTGTACATATTCATGCAGAGTTGTAAAAGAATTAACTAAAGAACTAAAGCTAACTTGTATGTCAGAAACAGCAAAATTGTTTTTATCGTTTTATGTGTTAACATGAATTGGACAGAGACAAAGAAAAACGGATAGGGATGAAGTATTCCCTATCCTAGCATTGTTAAAAAAAAAAGATCTCTAAAGCGGCCAACAAATACATTGATGTATTTCCTTTCATGCAATGTATTTTCATTGAGAAATCCTTTCTGCAATAAGCCCAAACTCTTCAAAGTGAGGCCAATTAAAGGATAAAATGAATCATCCTTTTATTCACTACTTATTAAAATCCTGTGTCAGGTACAAAGCAATGCATATTTTATTGCAGGGAAAGATTCATAGGCTTGACTCCAAATGTGCTGTTTTTCACAGGTACTTTGAAAATGCACATAGTACAAAAATCCTTCAAAGAGAACAATGAGAAAGATTCAATTTGCATAAATAAATTCACCATTATGGTAAAGCTGGTAGTGCTTTGGACAATTTCAGTAGTGTATGTGTCCTGTAATACTGACTAAAAAGCCTGCTGTGCATTACACTTGTAGGCAAGTCAGTAGTGCTCTGTTGTTCCAATATTCTGAGCTCTTAAAAGAAAAAAAAAATCTGCTTATTGGTTTGACAAATCTGATTGTGCTCATTTCTTGAAACTCCTTGGTGTTTGAAATATATGAATGTGTATGATTTTGTTTCCCCACTGTTTCAAAGAGGTGTTTATAATTTATGGCAATCAAAGCCATAAATTAAGCAATTTTAGCACAAGTGTGTTTGTTTTTGGGTAATGTAACTTTGCTGTGCTTCTGGTCATTTGAATAAGAAGCAAGCCAAAAGGTCTCAATCTTCAGTGCCTTCATAAAGATCTGCTGGCCTTCACCAGCTAAAAGGTTTCTTATTTTTGTTCTAAGGTCTTAGCAGTGTGAGAGAATTAGTATTAGCTCCCTTTAAAAGCTTCTTTCCAGGTCAGGATTGACTCATGTATGGGAGGGGGCAGGGGTGTCTTCCTTTCTGCTGTGTACAAGAAGAAGGGTATAGAATTTCATCTTTACTTTTTTAAATGAGATCCTAAAATTTAGGACAAAATGACTACGTTTTGTAAAATTAAAAGCTAAGCTTGTCTTTCCAAACAGACAGACCTTGGGTATACCAAGTAGCATTTAAAAAGGATGCAATTAATCTTCCACCTATATCTATTTATAGTGTTTGCTTCTGTTCAAAGACTTCTGTGACCTCTTGTTTTGTTTACTTAAGTGAAATATTGCTTCCTCTTGCTTCTGCCTCCATTCTGAGCAGTGAGAACTTGTAGAGTGTCCCAGTCTGATCTTTGCTACTGTGTGACTTGACAGAGACATGGCATCTGATCCAGATGAGAAATATCTACCATGACCAGCGCCATATTACACAACAGTTTTAAATTGATCTTAAATTTACAAGAAAATGAATAAAGAATGGAAGTTCTTGCCAAATTGCCATAGTTCTTTTTCTGCGGAAAATTTCTCTTACACACATTTTTGTTTTTAATCAAATATTAAGAATTCTGTATAAGGAACACAGCTTTCCACTAAATTGCTAGAGCGTATAGTATATTAAAGCTGATAGAAAAATAAGTTTTTTGTAGTTGTTTATATAGAAGACCCTCCCCACTACAAACTGGCCTGGAAGGCAGTACATATATATATATTTTTTGGTTGTGATTTATCTCGTCAGTGGTGTTGTGTTTAAAATGCAAAAAGAATATTGGAATGAAGACCTAATCTTGTAAGGATGCTTTAAGCTTTCTTCGTATGTTTTGCCTTCCACAAAAGTGGTGTATGGCCTTTATGACCATGTGTATTTCCAGACACTTATGCACTTTAAAATGCAAGCTGTTTTCTTTGTTAATTTTCATTTTTTTTTCTGTCTCTGGGTGATTTTTTTTAATTCAAAAAAATGTCATTTTTTCCTGCAGATAGTTCAATAGTTTCTTGCTTTTGCTGTGTGCATCAGGTGATGGCCCATTAAAATGCTTCAAATGACCACCTCAGTGAGCAGCAGGCTTAGAGCAGCAGAGGCAAATTATTTTTTTCTTTGGCCTGTTCAGCTCTTGGCTTCTTTACTGAGCTTCTTCACTGAGCTGCTGAGAGTGCTGGCTACTTGCAGATAGGATGGGGCTCATTAGAATAGAGTCTGCAAGTTTTTCCATAGTTAATAATTAAGTACACCTTGAACTTCTTTCTCATTTATATTTATTGACTTTTTATCCCATTCTGACAGCATAGTGCAGCTTCTAAAATGGTAATGGTCATCATCTGTGTTAGCTCTGACTGATGTAAAAGAGCAACATTTTCTTTCCAGGCAATCAAATTCAAATACAGAGGATGTTGCCCTCACAAGTGTGTGTATTTATTTTTCTTGCATAGTACAATGATTCAGCATGTTGTCCAGGTCCCTCAGTATACCTTTGACTAAAACAAAAAATGGGAAAAAAAAACAGATTGTTTTTCCTCACAGTAAGATGCAATCTCTAATGTCATCTTGTAATTATTGAGCTTATTGTAAGGACCATCTAAAATACATTTGCTCATGTTACATGACTTTTAATATTAATTTGGTTCAGTAAAACAGCACCCTGAAACCCTACCACTGTCACGTCTAATCATCATGTGTTTCAAATACAGTGGTTCACTGCATAAATTGTGAAGGCTCAATGGTTGATTTTTTTTTTGTCTTTCTTTCTTTCTGAACAGGTGTTAAACCTTTCTGAAAAGAGATATGACCTTGCCAAGCTTAACCCAAAGGTATTGGTTCTCTTCCATGGCATACCTCTCTTGCTAGTGTTAATTAGCAGCTTAAATGGCCTAGTAAGCCCTGAAGCTATGCAAGCCTTGATGTACGGAGTAAGATAAGAACTTTTGGAAGGCATCTCTTCTAGTTTTTTGTTTTGTTTTTGTTGTTTTTGGTTTTTTGTGTGTAGTGTTTTGTTTTTTTCCCCAAATTCTGCTTTGTGCCTGTTAAAGCCATGCCATACAAAGCTGTTTTTTTCTACAACTTCACACACTGGACCAGAAAGAAAGTCTACTGAGACTGCTGAAAATATTTCTCTTGAATGAAGTCAGTTTTATTCTGAGCATACTTTCTTTGTGCACCTGTGGGATATTAAGGATCGTATATTGCAACATACAGTCTGATGGCTGAAACTACTTAACTCAGTTCAAATATAAGCTTCATTTTTGTGTTAACCTTTCAAAGCTGCTTCTCTACACAATAGAGATTTAATTAAGAGAACTAGTTGTTGATGTCTTTTGTCTTTAGTTCTTCCTTAAGGTTTTCCTCTCACTTATGTTTGTTCTAAAAATGAAATGCAGATAATCTTCATCAATCATTATAAGGCCAGAGTAGCACAGATGTGTATTTATAGCAATAGCTTAAGAGATGCACGATGCCCGAGGAAAAAATTAATATGACATGTTGTTAATAATAACTTTGACCTGTAGGCTATTTGCTTTCATATTTTATTGATCACAGGGGATTTAAATAATTCCTTGTTACTGTTTTTGGTAGTGTTAAGTATTGTTATTGTTAAGTCGACATATAACAGCAGGTTGAGCAAACAGTATTATAAGGCGACCAATTGTGAATAGAAGCTATGAACAAAATTTTAGATGCCAAATTCATTGTATATGAAGGAAAAAAAACCCACGGAATAATTAAACACCATCACAAAACTGGACCAGCTCAGCCAAAGCTTTTGCTGTATTTTTAACTTTTTAAATCCTTTTTGAAATTACCTGAATCTAATTTAAAAAATCAATCAGAAATCAAGATTTTTAGAAATTTTATGAGACAAATCAGTGTACTTTTTTTGAAGAGATTACTAGTCAATATGGAGAATAAAAAAAGCTGTCCAATACCTTCTACACACACCATCAGAAGACCTGCAAAGATATTTTGCTTACATCATGCCATTAGAAAGTAATATAACTGTGACATGGTTCTCTTCAGTTAGAAGTAAGAAAACTCTTCACCATCGTAATGTTTGAATATGTAGTACTACATGATGTGTCTTGTGAATGTTATCTGTTCTTTGCAGATTCTGGATGTGGGCTGGCCTGACCTTCATGCTCCACCTCTCGATAAGGTGTGCACCATCTGCAAAGCTATGGAGTCTTGGCTCAGTGGCGATCCCCAACATGTGGTGGTGATCCACTGCAGAGTAAGTGAGCTTATATAATCATTGCCCATCAGTTTTAATTCCTGTTCAAAAAGTTTGCCTTTTGTTCTTCCTCATATTAAAAAAAAAATCTGTTTTTAATATTGGAAACTGTGTGGCAAATCCTCCATATGTATAGCGTTAGCTTTAAAGGGATTATATGATGCCTGAGGAAATTATTAATAGTACAATTAACATTGACCCACAGGCAATGTTCTTGAATGTTTTATTGATCAGAAGGGGTTCAAGTCATTCATTGTTACTGATTTTGGTAGTGCTAAATGTTGTTACTCTTAAGTAGATGTAATAACAGCAGGTTGAACAAACAGTATTATAAAGGCTTAAATCCACTGACCTCACATACCTATGTTATCTACACCTCTTTATGATAACTAAGGTTCTCGCTTGTGCTCTGGGCATAGTGTGCAGTGACGTTAGTTCACTTCCTTCAAAGGCAGTGCTACTTCTGTGAGCATATTTAGAGGCCTGAGATTTTCCAGTCTAACAGCAAACTCCTTAGAAGCCTTTCATGTTCTGTGACATTCACTGATCTTGTTGCTGTATAAGGGAGCAACATCTCACAGGCTTTACTTCAGTCAGCTGAGTCCTCCTCACAGGTAAAGGTAAATGTCTGGACTGCTTTCAGTAGGCAAAAGTGGATGTTTGGACAATTCCTGGCACAACTGAATAACTTTTTCTGGACCTTGTTTTACTGGCCATATTGGAAAATGTGGCCCAGAATGTAAATTATATAGCACAGTGATTGCACGGACTAATAGGTAATTCCTTTGGACTGCAATATGATTGCAGTCAGTAGATACATAGCCCCTGGGCTTGGGCAGGTTCTGACTGCCTGGGTAATTGTCCTGCTCTACAGTAGTGCTGTTATTATTGTGCAATATTTTGTCTTGTTAGTAATAAATAATATTATTTGAATTGAGCTGACAGCTGTGCTGGGGTAACACATGAGGCAAATCCATCTTTGCATCACTGGCAGATTTTATTTTAAACTAACTGAGGCTGGTATGAGACACAAATCTTCTTTTAAATTCAAGTTGAATAGTCCTCTGTAGTTCATAGCTTGCAGGCAGAATGCCATGATTGTATGAAACACCATTGATTTCTTATTAGCTGCAGGACTGCAGCCAGGTAAACAGCCCTTACATGGTGACACAATACCAGGAAAATCCATGAAAGAAAGAGCATAGTGCAGGGAACGTAATGCTTCTTTAGTTATAACTTCACATGTATATATATACATATATACATATATATATATATACATATATGCATGTTATTTGGCACTTTACATACAAAGTGGTAATGTACAATTAGTTCCTTTTGGTAATGATCTAAAAGTTTCCAAGCAGGAGGATCAATGTAGCTATGTTAGCTGAAAGTCTGAAAGCATCTTGAAGCCAGTGAAGATTACCACTCTTTTTTTACTGAATTTATGTTATCTAAACTATTAAATAAGATTTTGAAAAATGCCATAGAAAACAAAAAGCAATAGTTGGTTTAAATCTCAGGTGTTGGAGGAAGGAAGGTTTTAAAAAAAAAAGTCGGAAATCACATGCTTTCCAAAATTTCTATTTAGTAGCACATCATGCCAGAAATGGCAATATTGTCAAGACTTGTCTTGAATGATGATCTCTGGAAAGAGTACTACTAAATTAAAATAGCTGATAGAATGTTCCTGCTACTGTTCAAGATATTTTTTCTTTTAATTTATATCTTTGTTTTCATATGAAAAGATGCCAAGCATTTCAGTGTTCTATTAAGAAATAATTAAGAAGTGAAGGACAACAAAGCTATAGATTCATAGATTTAAATTAAATATTATAAAGTTTTAAACTTACTGAATCTTAAGTTCAAAAGAATAAGAAACATAATAAGAATAATAAAATGGCGAGTCATATGTATGATTTATTGTGTTTACTTGACACTGCTCCTGAATATGAGTTGGGAAGTCATGAGCTGAGTGATGTTTTGAAACATATGCAAGGAATTCAAGCTCTGATGTTAAAGATTTAAGATTCAGTATGACGTAGGAAAGTTGTTTCTTCATTTGATCTTTTAAAACATTTCTTCCTCTGGGTTTGAGACTTCTCGATGTAGAGTAGAAGGATTAATGCAAATTATGTGCAGTATAGCTGAAATGAGTTGTTTCTTTTTTTTCTAATACAGGGAGGAAAAGGAAGGATAGGCGTAGTCATATCATCATATATGCACTTCACCAATGTTTCTGCAAGGTAAGGTGAATAATGGAAAAAGGAAGTGTATATTGTTTGTTTTTACAATCAGAGAGCAGAATGTCAGAAAAAAAAAAAAGATGTTTCTTAAATGCAGTGTTGTTCAGTTACACACTTAAGTTTGCCAGCTTGCTTCAAAACTCTTAATTAACCATATATTAAAACAGACTTTTCTCATGATCCTGCTTCAAACAGGAGATTGGACTACCTGACATCCTAATGTACCTTCTAACCTGGGATATTCTATGGTTCTGTGGGAAAATTCTCCAAAGGGTTGTTCTACATGTGCAAGAAGCCTTTATTTATATCCTGATGCTATCTTTATACTATCAAAAGTATCCGATTCTATAACTTATGTCTCTCTCAATAAGAAATATTTCTAAACTCCTTGAGGAACACAGTTGTTAGAACTAATTAGTTAGAACACATTAGTTAAACTCCTTGAGGAACACAGTTGTTAGAAACCGGAACTAATATTGAATAGGGGATTCCCCAGGCATTGGTCCTAATGAGGATGCCATTTAAGACATTATCTGGGCTTAATTTTACAGAAGCAAGTCTTCCAATTGTTCAAGCAGGACTCTGTTTTTTGTAGTTGTTACTGCTGATTCTTTTAGAATACTGAAATCATGAAGTGATAATTGACAATATGTGTCATTAAAAGTGAAACTTGATAAATGCTGTTAAAAGGGTGGAACTTTTCTGCAATCAGCAGTAAATGAAATCTTGATGCTGACAGCAAATTTCTCATGGACTTCAGTGAAACCAGGCCCTCAAAAAACTGTTTACTCTGATGAAACCTTACAGATAAATGTAGACTAAGTTGCGTTATACAAGCGAATAATATTGAAAAAATAAAGTAATAAATGTACGTTTATTAAATTTATGAATTTATGTTTACAAAGGAAGAATTGTAGCAATCATTGTCACCATTTTATGGTAATATTTTATTGAGAATAATTATGAACAAAAGATCTGTTAATTGAGGATACTGCAGTACTGTGTTGTGATCTGTGTCACAGTATTGTATCGAACTTGAAAGATGGCACCTTGCTGTAAACAGGTATTAATAATGTCATAACAGAATAACCTCTGATACAATGATGTAGTGCCTCGTGTTGAAAGATGCCACCTTTAATTCAAGATATATTCAGGATTCCTCCAAGCAAGTGATGAGAGTAGAAACCATAATCTAAATTTGTAGTTAGCTGATAACTCTATCGAAATCTTAACTTTCCTGTTTGTTGATGGGGTCTGAGGGAAGAACATCACTTGAGTAGAGTTATAGATGAAGGCTTTTCAAAATATGCAACAAGAACACGGAAGCAGGAGCTATTGCCACCACTGCTGCTGCGGATGATAGCTGCCTTGCTAGAAACAATGCTCTGAGACAAGGATTCAAGGATCCTGTGCACCTACAAAGTTCCTACTTGCCCTCCAGTGTCCGGGCTTCAAAACACAGCCTGATGATGTAAAGGCTCCATGTGCATCAATGGTGTGTGAGGTTTCTTAAAGTTTATTTTTATGAATTTGATAATAGCAGCTGCTATTGGTGATAGTTTAGTGTTAAATAGTAAAACGTAATGTATTTCAAATGTGGAGAAAATATTGTAATTATTTTTATTATTTTTTTTTAACGTACATGTACAAGGAAACCTGGGGAAAAAAATCTTTGTAGCTACAGGTAACGAGTATGATTGTTCTTCCTTTGGGTTCTATGTTACAAATACTTGATTTTCTCATTTAGGAAAGACTAATGCGCAGCCAAAATTAACTAGGGCAAACTAGGCTTTTTGTAATAGTTGTTAAATTTTGTTCTAACAAGTCAAGAACCGAAAATCTTTGGTCAAGGCAGTTAAAGAGTGGGATGGTTTAAGCCTGGGTGAAAGTGTGGGTGAAGATATGTGAAGCAACGCATTGAGATCATGTCATACCAGTTAATAAGAATTTGAAATGCTATAGGATAGTAGTTTTTTATCCTACAGCATGTTATTCTTTAGCACCTGTATAATACACACACAGTAAAAAATGTGTGCGCCTATATACACATAAAATTTTTAGGTAGAAGACAGGAAGAACATAATTAAACTTTCAGGAATCATGTGAAGAAATGATACATCAGTTGCCAGTTGAGAGACCTAGAAAGGGCAGATTTCTCCAACTAGGTCATTTTGGATATTACTGTCTGAAGTAGAATTTCAACTATTTTAAGCAGTGTTTACAAAGCAATGGAAAAAATAAGGGCAATCTTTTACTGAAGTGTAAAATGTTCTGCCTTATTGCTCTTTTATTTTTTAATGTTTTAGACTTAGAGTAGTGATTTTGTATGTGTCTTGTATGTGTGCATTTGTAAAATGAAGTGTCTTATTTATTCCGCAGCATTTCATGCTACATATGTAGCACAGCAGTTACTCATTTTGTGCTGGTACCATCATTATTGACATTGTACTACCACACTGCATACAACTACATATGTATTTATGTATATACGTGAGGATCTGACATTTTGTGGGCCGTGGGCCTGCATGTACAGGGTGCTTGGACTAGAAGATCTCTAGAGGTCCCTTCCAACCTTAATGATTCTATGGTTCTATGGTATGTGAAAGAATATGCTATACATAATAATGTTTGTCATTTTGCAGTAAAATGTACATCTCTCAAATATTGCAGAAATTCCTCACCAAGAGAATACCGAGGAAATGATGCTGTCTTTTACAGCAGATGGATTGTTACACAAATGTAAAGATAGGAGAAACTGGATTTTGGGGAGAAAGCTGTCCTAATCACATGCTGTGTAATCTTTAACCTCCATGAAGAAAAAGCATATTTTCACAGTATGATCCAACATCAAGTCAAGATAATCAATCTTGTGACTGATTTTTGAGAAGGATATAAATTGTGTTTTTAGTCTGATCTGTGTATGCATTTTTTTTTAATTGCAACTCCTGTAGGTGAAAATAGAGAGTCTAGTTATTTTGGAACTTCTGTTTGGTTTATGTCATGATGCTGATTAATATCAACTACATCCATTAATAAACGCTTTTTTCAATACAATGTAAATACAACTGAGTCAGCATGGTGTAATACTTGGAATGTATAATCATGAGCATTCTTACAGTTTTTTGTTTTGTTTTTTCCCCTATACCCTCTTGCCATCCTCCACACACATACAGAAGAACCGCATTAGACACATTCCCATTCTGAGACTATTTTGCTGAATAGATTGTTCCTTAAGAGTTCATGGTTGCCAGATGCAAAGCATTTTTTTTCAAAGATTGATAATTTTATTTTTAAACATTCTCTCCCTTAGTGGCTCAAGGCATAAGAAATGAAGATTGGGTAAACTGCTTGTCTGCTTAAATGATCCAGTTCCTTGCACCCTCTGCACCTCATATAATGTACTACAACCACAGCTAAGGGACAGCTTTCATCTCCATAATGTTGCTGCTTCTTGTTTAAAGGAGAGTAAATTTGCGTTTCACAGAGAAAACTCCCCAAATGACATGTGAAGGAAATGATGGCAAGCCTAAGTTGCTTTGACTTTGCTAAAATTTATTACATTGCAACAATTATAACATACTCATGTTGGGAATGTACAATCCAAATAACTGAGTAAGAGAGTACGTGCTTTGCCAAAGGAAGGAAACTACCTTAAGGCATGGAATGAGAAGATGTCAGTGGAAAAAAAACATTCCTGTCGGACCTGCGCTGAGGTTGCTAGTGCCTTTTTTTTTCCCTAGTATTTGTTGGCATATTTCAAGCTGTAACCTGCTGAATTTCCAAGATAACCCCAAGCTGGAATAACATGATATCTGTGTCTCTGTTTTGACAGTGCTGATCAGGCTCTAGACAGATTTGCTATGAAGAAATTCTTTGATGATAAAGTTTCGACTTTAATGCAGCCATCCCAGAAAAGGTATTCAATTACTTCTAATTCATACCAAGAAATAAGAAATGTGGGTTATCTTTTCCCCCGTTCCTTACCTTTTCCTCTGCTGTATGAAGGCTGTTTCCTGCAGATCCTCCAGTGATTCCTGAACTCTCAGCACTTTATCTTATATTAACCTTCCTTGATTGATGAGATCTCTGCTTCAGTTCCTGCACGTAGCCCAGTATAGATAAGACCTTTTGCACCACCTTCCTATCTGCATGCATTCTTACTGCATTTTTTGCTAGGAAAAGGAGATGTCACAATCCATTCCTTAATTGCTTTAAGATAATAAACTGATTTTTATGTATCATAAATGTTGTGTATGGAATGCATGTTGATTAGTGTGCAATAAAGATCTTATTATCACTTGTTTGGAGGATCTGCAGATTATGCAGTCACCCCATGTTCATGCTAGTAAATATTTGTCAGAGCGTGTATGATGTATCTTGTCTGTCTGGATGTCTTACCTTTTTAGACTGTTTGTGTGAATGAGGTTGAGTTGTGAGTTAAAGCAAGTGGTTTGGAAGTGAATAGATCTAGGGCTGACTATTTAAGTGACTCTGACATGAGGCAATGAAGTAACAAAAGAGGGGAGCAGGTTTTTGATATCTGTCAGACAACTATTTGATATAGCTCAATCTTGTAGAAACAGAAAATATCCATTGCGTTTTATTTAGTATTACAAATTGCTTTTGATTTTAATCAGCATGTATACATTAGTTTTTTAAAAGATATTTAAAGGATAAGGCTTTGCTAATAATCAAACTAGAAAAAATGTGTGGCAGTAATGTGCAATATAGCGTTTGGTTCTGTTCATGCCTAAATAAGAAAAGCTTTCCCATTGCCTCTTGAACCCATTTGGTGACCTGTACAGCTGTTTTTCACATGAGAAATAATAGCACAGCATCCCACTAGGCTTTAAATAAACTTCTCATAAATAGAACTTCACCAACCTCATTCTTCTTTCAGTTTTATGCCTGCATATTTGCCCTTTGTATTTTAATAAAACCGGGTGTGAGTGTGATGCCTACCAGATAGAGAGGCATGAACTGTGGGAGCAAAAGGAGAGAGATGGTCTTAATGTTCCTATGCAGAAGCTTTATACATTATTCTGATTTTAAATGAGCGTCCCTGTAGCCAGCACATTTCCATGGAGAAGACAAGGAAGGATTCTCAATGCATCATCTGTGACTGGTGCCTTGCTGCATTTTTTAAGGACACATTGGTAGGAAGCTTGTATAGCTTCTATAGGTGAACTGTATGTAAGCCCTAGAGCTAGAGATAAATTAGATGTAAAGGGTGCTTTGGTATCCTCCTCCAGGAGACTGTGTCACTGAACGAGGGGTGGTGGGGGTGAGTGATACAATGCACTTCACTCGTGGGTAAGAGATAGGAATAGGTTTTATTGGTAATGACAATGGTTTCACGAGATTCTATGGCAAGGCCACTTATTAGTTATTGCATGGAGGTTCAAGATACACACAGAATTATCAAGGACACCCTCCCGTTGGGTCACGAGGTTCAGATTGGACCCCCTTGCTTTCCTAACTCCTTCTGAGAGGAGTCTGGGTGCAGCTGGATCCAGTCCTAGTTGCAGACCTGGTCAACAGTTTATGTCTAAAGGATTTGTGCAGTTACAAAGTAAGGTTTACAAACTCAAAAAAGAGAAAGACGCGCTATAGTCACTTACCACGAACCTGTAGTGGGAAGGATCTCTTAACCTCGAGGAGAATCCTTGAGAGGTGTCCCTGCTCAAGGGGAGATCCTGGCGTGCAGCCCACTGCCATGCAAGGAGAGCTCAGTGGGCTCTTGGGCTGTCCCCGTATTTATAGGATAAAATGATTGACTGATAGTCATTCTTTCAATTTCAGAAATGACTGTTGGCTGGTGCACTCACAGTTAGCCTTATCTCCCCATCAGGATAGGGCCATCAGGAGTATTATTGATGGTTAATGTCTGGGTGGGGGAAGAAATCAGGGAGGCAACTACCAGGATCAGATAATGTGGTAGTTAACACCTGAACAGGGCTATGTGTGAGAAGTCAGGATGAGCTGGGGAAGGAGCATATCCGTCACAGACTGGCTTAGTTCCCCTAGGTTCTCCCACAGGGACTTCTATTCATTTTCTGATGGACGAAGTTAGCATCTTTTTTCAGCAGTGCTGAACTTCAGCTGACCATCTTCCAGGCATATCCATGTGTATGTGCTTGGGATGCTTTCTTTCCTTAAGAATAATAGAATAGTCACACCTCTGTTAAAATCTAGTTGATGCTTAAGTAGGCATAATTTAGGTGAATCTGCGTGTAAATTTTCTCCTTAAAATTTTAGTTGTGGTCATCATATACATCACTCCTGAAAATATAAATTAACTTTTTGACCTCACAGCTAGTGAGATGCTGCAAGGAGAGCCACGTCATCTTCAGATGTGTTCTTCAGCAGACTTCAGAACTCCTGCTTTGAATCTATCCTGGAAATACTTAGTATTCTCAGATATTACAATTGAAGGTTTTCCTGAAAAAAAAGTGCAGATATGGAGCCTTCATATATAAAATTTTTCTATAAATCATTTTAATTCAACACACCTCTCAGAATTTAGCCAATTGCCTATAAGCATTTTAAGTGCACTGTTTGGAGAAATAAGGTTCAAGAATGCAGATGAATTTTTGAAATAATTAAAAACAGATGGGAGAAGCTGTGCAGACTGGGCAATTGCTAATGTGGTGTTTTACCTACAGTGTTTGCGGGTTTCAGGTATAACAATTTTTAAACTGATACTTTTACTACGACATTCTCAGAAGATTGAAGGGAGAAAAAAAAAGAGAAAAGCTGACTTAAGAGATTTTAAAATAAACATTTCAGAAAAAAATAAATCCCCTCAAAACCGCTACAAGCCCCATTCTGGGATAACAGAGCTGTTGTGGCTGGGCATCTTTAATGGTGGTGTTAGCTGGAGTGAGCAGTAAGGAGTAGGTTAGTGAGATGGCATGTAAAGGGGGAGAGCTTGAGGGTGATTTTTTTTTTTTTTGTACTGTACATTCCTGAAAGTGAAGTTAAATAAAGGTTATGTCATGGGCATGGAAAAAAAATAGACTCAAAACCGGTAGAAAAATTGAGGCTGATTTCACTTTTTTTTTTTTTTTTTGAGTGGTAAAAGGGTTTTTTTTTTTTTTTTTTTTCCTTAAACACACATCAGTGTTGTTCACTTGCATGTACTTGCTTGTGGGTTTATGATTAAAGCAGTTACTAAAGAACAGCAATACAAAGATTTTCACATTGCTCTGCAGATCACTTTGCAGTGTAAGGATGTTATTTGCAGCCAGTGCCTTTTCTGCTAGGATTTCTGAGAAGGGCACTTGTTATTTTTGTTTTTATGAAGTGTGCTTCACGCTAAATGGCATGGGGCCTGTTTCATGCTATTGTGAAAGCCAGCTCAGACTTTCAGTTGTAATTGGAAATGTATATTGAGCTGAACTGGCTTTCCTAGCTAAGTGAATTACCTTTTCTGTTTAGAATAGCATTGTTAATAAGTACAATAAAGACCTCTGCAATAGTAATGTAGTAGTCATGGTAAAGAAGTGTGTGCCTTCATGCTATTTTATGACAGCTATTCTTTTTGGAGTTGCATGTAATGATAAAATTCTAGTCATGATCCATGAAATATGGCTAGAAATATTCATTTGCAAAGACTCTGTTTCCCTCATACAATTGCATTTCTGTTTTTATTTAACTTGGGCAAATTTGTGTTTTTAGATATGTGCAATTTCTAAGTGGCCTTTTATCTGGATCTATGAAAATGAGTACAACCCCTGTTTTCCTGCACTATGTTATCCTTCATGGCATTCCGAGCTTTGATGTTGGAGGAGGTAAGTTACCTATTTTTTCATATTAAAGCATAGCCTCAAAATATTGTTTCATTTTGGAGCTTTCCATAAATTGTGCCTGAATCAGAAGTCAGAGTTAGTGCTCCTTTATATAAGTCCAGCTATTCCCAGTAAAAGAACTGTAGGAAATGCAATAACATTACAACATGACCATGAAGGCTATGAAAGAGAAAGTGGAAGAAAATTTTCCTCCTTTCTTATCATCTGAAGAGATGGTGCTAGAGCAGTCTGCCTTGCTTCTGTTCTTCCGTCAGTTCCTGGAAAAGACTTGAGAACTTGCTTATGTTTCCAAAGCAATTGTCTTCATGTTCACATCTTCTCCTTCCTTTTCTGAGATTTTATTTTTTCATTTAGTCTCTTCAGATAAGGTGGCCATCTAAGGTGGCCTACTGTAGTCAGTGACTTTAAAATTAAAGTTCTAATCCAAGATGATGTACTGAAGCTTACTGCATGGTGAAGTAGCACAGCGCCTTCCCTTTCTCACCAAGAGTTAATATATGTCTTTTGAAATGTCCTCTATCTGAGTCTATTGCTTAAGCTGCATTATTTTTAAATAACTACTTTAATAAAGACAAAATGTTCTTTACTGTAGTCAGGGATTTAAGGTGGATTCTAGTTTTGAAGTAAAATTGGGGAAAAAAAATTTCTTATAATTTTAGAAAATGTATTTTATTTTATTTTACTTTATTATTTTATTTATTTTTAAGCCGTTCTCTTTCTTCCCTTGTTCATTTTGTTTTCCTGTAGAGGAATGGGAAGAAAAAAAGCCATTTTATAAGGAGCAAAGTGCTCCCACTTTTGTTTTCTTACGATATCCTTTAAAATGCATCCCTTCTCCAATGCAGAACTAATCTAGAGTGCAGGGAAAACTTAATTTTACAAAACATTATCAAAAACTATTCTGAGGGGAAATACATCTGCCAAAGTGTATTTTCTTTGGAAAGATTTTTGACAGTCAACATTGTCCCACTTGTGTGCCACTTTGCTTGATCTGGATGTACACAAAATTTCCTACTTGTAATATTAAGAAAAAGGAAAATAATTACAAAAATAATTTGTTCTCTTAACTTCTTTTCAGTTTGTCGGCCTTTTCTGAAGTTATACCAGGCTATGCAACCAGTTTATACATCTGGAATATAGTAAGTCTTAGCCATTACCTTTATGACCGAATCCAATTTTTAATTCTCACTATTGCAAAATTGCTGAATCTATTTTTGTTTGTTTCTTTAAACCATATATTTTATTTTTCTTTTCTCTTCTCTCTTGTTAAGTAGCCTAGGGCCAGAAAATCAAAGCCGCATATCCATTGCTATAGAGCCAGCCCAGCTATTGAAGGGAGACATTATGGTAAGTTAACTGTATGAAATATAGACTCTATTCTCTTTTGCATTCTTGTAAAAATAAATCAATTTGTTAGTATGCGGACATACTAACAAATAGGTTATTAAATGAATTTAATTTCCTATCTGGTTTTACTATGAATCAAAATTACCCTCAAACTATAGGGCCCGAACAATTGCAAACTGCATTCCCATTTCATGGCATCACCAAATGCAGTTATGCCTGTATTGCTGTTTTGTTTATTAAAATGGCTTTGGGAGGTTTTCTAACTCAACATTGAAATACTCTGTGACTTGACCGACAAGATTAACAATCAAAAAACTATATGGTGTTAAACTATGTTAATCTATAAAATGGTATCAGATGAAAGCTTCCTGATTCTACTGGCACCTAAAGTATCCAGAAAGCACAGGTACTACATAGCTTGTGTAATTTGCACCATTATCATTTTAAATCTCTTTGCTTTCTTATATTTATAATTTACAGTTATGCAAGGAAGAAGAAAGATAGTTGCCATGTCTTTTGATTGGTTAAACCAAGAAGATAGAAGTACAAGTAGAATGAATGGGGGAGATATTATCAGTAAGAGTATTCCTGTGTATATTGCTGGGAGATTTCAGAATGCTTTTTTATTTATTTCTCGATTCAGGAATGCTGAATCTTAGTAAGAGAGTCCTTGGTATCAGACTTTTTTTCTTTTCTCATTTACCTTTTTCTTTTCTTATTTACCTCTCATTTTCTTGTTCACGTACTGCACCGTTTCCTCCCCTCACAATTCAGTTTAGTACTTTAGTACTTTGTTCTTCTTTCTTCCTTTTTTTTTTTTTTCCTTTCACTGAAAAATGGAGAAAGTATAATGTTTCTAAACAGCATGCTATAGATTTTCTGGTATACTTAAGAGGTTTGGAGGAGTTTCAGATTTGAGAAGATTATTACTTAGCAGAGTAGTTGATGATGCCTAAGCAAATTGAGTAGATTACAGAAGAAATCAGTCTGAGACAAACTTGGTGGCTATCAAATTTAAAAGAAAAAAAAAAAGTTGCACATAACTTGATTAATGCTTTCCATCCATAGCATTTTAAAAGAAGCCAAATCCATTGGTCTTATACTATTACTGTAGGCAACATCTTATTCAATACAACAGTATTTCCTAAAGAAAAACTTCAGTTATGGTTTTTTTTTAAGCTATGGTAGACTAAGTCATCAGTGGTTTCAGGAAAAACAAAATTTTGTTGTCCCCACTCTTCCGACTCCATAGGGTTGAACAGCATGAACTACAAGGATTTGTAATCCTTGACTGTTGTCCTTGTTTCCACACTCTTTTTCTACAATTATGTCTCTAAAGAAATTTTGGAGAGAACCAGATATGTGTTATTTACCCTTTCAACACTATTTGCTTGACTTGGGCTTATAGAAGTCCTTACAACAATGTAAATAGTGATGCAGCGCAGCCAAAGCTGTTGAAAAGCTGCATTGACGCCTGTAAATATATATAGGTATTACCTAGCATTCCCCCCAGCAATACAATTCCAGTGGCTTGTATTACTCTTGAATATAGTGTTAGTATTCAAAGTTAAATGTACGGTCAGTTAAAAAGCTTCTTAAGTACCGTGAGTGAGAAAAGGTATTTTCAGTGTCTTAGGTCTAGATGTACAGTGCGTGGTTGTATCACAATCACAGTACTATATAAAGAAGCACTTCTGAGTTAAAATTCTTAAAAGCTATTACATTGAATTAGAAAGTAGAAAGAAGCACTCTGTAGCTACATAATTTACTAAGCTAACCAGAATGGCGCATTTTTATAAATATTCTGTAAAATACAGTATGTTTTTGGCAAATCCTGCATCTGTTCAAAGCCAAAAGTCTTACAAGCTGGAGGATACAATGTGTTTTACAGTTATTTAGCCCTCTGTATCTTCAGTACTCCCATGCTGACCCCCATATAAAAACAATAAAGCTCTTTAAACAATTAGAATAAATAAGAAAGAAAAAAGATACCACTTTAACATAAAATTGTGAAGGAAGTTACATGATCTTAAAGAAGGTGTTTCGTCTCTTAAAACTTGTTTTTGCTCACAGAATGTAATTGAATAGGATGCTAACAGATATTTGAGATCAGATTATGAATTTTGGATAAGGTTATCTCATTAAGGGCTAGCATATGCCATTTTTCTGTCCCTTTTTCACTTCTGGCCAAACTTGCAGCCATTCCTTAGGCAAATATCCATCCTCCTTTCCATAAAACTTCTGGTTATATTGAATAATGGGGGGTTATTTATTCTTGAACTAAAACTTTACTCTTTAACTCAAGCATACTGATTAATTTTCCTGCCTTATATTTTTTCCAGAATTGAACCTTTATTTAGCTAAGTGGCTAGTGTTGTGCATATGCACTTTTTTTTTTTCCAGTAGAAAAACAAATTATTGTCTGTCTGAGTAATACTTGGATTGAATTCAGACTCTCTTCTTGAGCTTTGGCATTTGATACAACATGCTTATCTTTTGAGACTTTTACTTTGTAAAGCCCCGATTTAAGAAGAACAATCCAGCTGATAAAGTATAACAGAAATATATGTAGCAGGGACTGTTAGCTTGCATATATATGTTTAGTTTGTGTCATGCTGGGATTCTATACTTGATCAATTTTTCATTCTGGTGTTTTTTGGTGTAGATCAGAAGCGATGATACATAGATCAGATGATAGGAGATCAGTGTAAATGAAGGCAGAAATCAAGTCCTTTATGCTCACTTAATTCTCCATTTTTTCAAAGATGTCTTAGTTGAATTGGGCTGTGAATGACCATCCCTCAATTAATGCTATAAAGGCTAGTTAATATGGACTGGTTTTGAAACAGACTTGAACTGTTCAGATGAAATTCACAGTTGAAAGTGACCTTATCTGGGCCTTTTGCATTGCTCCTCCTTTTCCTCTCCATTTTCCAGGTAGTTTTTGGAAAAGTCATTTCTCAAGTGGGTGACTCATCTCATTCATGAGAGGCAGAGGGAGGAGCAAAGTTTAAGTTCTTTTGTGGAATGGCCCCATGAGCTGCTGTTGAAGAGACAAATACCTACAGCAATATGAATAATACAAAAAGAATGCACTATCAAGTCAAATTAAGTCTTTGCAGACTGTTATCTCTGCAGACTGTTATCTCTAGTTTTCATCTTCAGATGCTTCAGATTGGAAAGGTGAGGGGTGGGATGGGCCTTGCAGTTCATGCAAGGCACCTGACAGCTAAAGTCAGGAATGTCTTTGGCAGTTGAGTTTTGATGATTGATATCCTCATCTTTACTGCCCCATGCATCTGGTATAAGGGCTGAGGTAGATCACAAGTTGGCCTGTGTGCCAAGTGTGCCATCAGCACTGATGCACTTTGAGAATTTAAGGCATATGACTTAGGTCCTATGACTTAAGATTACCAAGTTTTTTATATATTGCTGAGTTGAGTGAATGTTGAGTGGTCACTGGACAACTCAAAGAACTCAAAGAATTGTTAAGTGAAAAGTCTGTAAGTCTAGTCTAAAGAAAAGTGAGGTTAAAGAAATATTTGTGTTATGGTCACAATTAGCCACTGAAATTCATACTAGATGTTATTTTTTTTATATATATTTCTGTCTTGTTCTATGCAAGGTGGTAAAACTAGCACCAACTTCCCTCCATAATATACAGAAAATCACATTAGTGCTAGTAGAGGAATTTTAAAAAATGTCCTAAAATTGATGTAATCATCTTGGAAGTTTTCTGAGAAGGCTGGTCTGCATATGCTTCAGTTATTTTGAAATGAATGTTTTGTTGAATGAAATGTTAGTGTTTTGTTGGTTTGATGCCATGAAAAAGTAGTGATTTGTGTTCCAAAATTTTAATGGCACATGCTATGATTCTGAATCATCATCTGGTCGGTGACCAGATAGCAGCTAGTGGTGGTGATGATGAAAGTAGTAATTATTATTTTTACACATCCAAAACTCAATCTTGCTTTGAGCCTGTATAATTTTAAAAGGATTGAGCAACCCATGTTACAACAGCAGTAGTGTCTGCTCTAAATTGCACTGTGGTTAGCTTGTTCAGACAGTAATCCAGACAACATGCACACTGCTTTGTGCTGATTTTTAGAAATTGCTAATTGACATGATTTCCCTTTCTTTAAGTTATTTTATTTCATTTTAATTTTTTTAGCTAAAATGTTACCACAAAAAAAATCGGTCAGCTGCTCGGGATGTGGTTTTTCGTCTTCAGTTTCACACCGGAGCTGTTCAAGGACATGGCCTAGTGTTTGGCAAAAAGGACTTAGATAATGCCAACAAAGGTACTTGCCTTCTATTGCATGTCAGTGTGAATGGCGTGGATGCATGTGTCTGTGCATGGATGGGGTTGTTGCATTCAGCACCAGTATGAGTAAGGACTTTTCTATATACATTTATTTTTGACTTCTCTCATCTTTAGGAGAAGGGAGACTACTATATGCTAGTTATTTCATAACACCTCAGCATAGCTAAACCCCTAAAGATCTTTGTATGCATTCAAAATACACAAAATACATCAGATATCCCTACATAACCTTTACCTCAACTTCTGATATTTGTTAAAACAGCAAACATATCTTTAAAATGTTGACTCTTAGTTACTACTGGAAGAAAGAAGATGAGCTAAGAGCATTCTTTTTTGAATGATGGAAACAGCGACAAAGTTGAATACTAAGTTTGTCTGCATATGCAACCCTTTTAATTGTTTCAGAATTGATGTGAAAAATGTAGGCAAAGTTTTCAGATATGTTTGAAAATCTGTATTGTACTAATCCGTACTTTCCACAGAATTTCTTTTTTTTTAATATTTATATATAAGATTGTATCTTAACATACGTTACTAACAAACTAATAGCAAATATATTTTTGTGAAATATGTGCCTATACAAAGATTTTTTTGGTCAAATATTGTAATTTAGCTAATATAGTGAACACTTATAGTTTACTTCCAGGTATGTCTTCCCCTGTTGTTCCAGGGACAACAATGTCTGTTGAGAGGGACCTATTTTTCTTCTTGTTTTTTGACTGCTTTTGGAAATAAACAAAAAATCAGCTTACACTTATGTGGCCTTTTTTGGGAATGTAACTGTTTTAGAAGTAAACTGCTCAATTTGAAGTAAAAAGTGTGATAAAAGTACATGCATTAATAGCAATAGAAAATCCTGACTTCTGAGTGCCTTGTAAGTATTTCTGTAGGAAATAATATTATCCTTTGTTTTCAGATGACCGTTTTCCTGATTATGGGAAGGTAGAACTAGTGTTTTCAGGAACTCCTGAGAAAATTCAAGGTGAGTATACAGTAGAGTCTAATGAAGTGTTCATTAACATTTACATTAGCCTAAGAGTGATAAACCTTCTTAAAAATATACCAGAATGATGACTGACCACCATTATATACCACTTCTCTATCTGTAGAAAACACAGTATGTTATAAGTAGCTTGCTTAAGTGCGAATGACAGCAGTGGTCCCTCCTGTAACATTTTGCTGGCTGTTGTCATGAGCGATCAAGTTTGATAAGTAGTGAAGTTGAGCTGTTTTCAGTTTAATGTAAAGAGAAGCAATTCTAATTTATTCTGGAGATGTTTCTGCTCTGGATTGTTTTATAGCGTATATCCTGTATACCTCCAGAATATATCTTATTTTAATATAACTCAGGTCATAGACAATTACTGACTACAACAAGGACTTAAATTGCGCTTTATATTGAAGTTCAATTCTGTAAGAGTTTTGTTTTTATTTATTCTGTTACAAAAAAGGTATAGGTTCTGCCTGAGACTGAATGAAAAACAAATGTTCTGAACAGCCTCTCTTATGCGAAATCTTATTAAGTGTCCTGAGAACTGCATATATTATTCTTCAGTCTTTTTCACAAGTTTGATCACTAAGAGACTTGTAGTAGCAGCCAGTAAGGAACTGACTTCTGTCCATCTGAGCACAAGATTTCACTTAGCTTGTTCGAAAGCCATATAAGAAAAAATCTTAGAAATGAATTTCACTGACTTGATCTAAACGTTTCCTGAATGGTGAATCCCATATTATGCTTGAAGAGAGGCCAGCTGACATGTCTGAAAAAGGATCAAAATTCGTTCAAGTGAGTTCAATTTGTTCCTGGATGGAAAATCAATTTTGTGTTTTTAGCAAGCTCTAAGTAGCTTGAAAATAAGGTTCTCATCAGTTAGAAATTTAGAAATTAGTACTCAATTTCTATCTAAGCAGTTAGCAGGCTGGGAAGAAGAATCTACCATGTAATATTTATTTACAATTTCTACAGAATTATATACTAGCATAATTCAGGTTAGGGTAGACTGCAGGGAGTCTCAGTCAGGTCCGGAAAACCTCAAGGAGAGACAGTGCAACATCACTGGGCAGCCTTTTCCACTGACTGTCCTTGCTGGGAAAGTCATCTGATTCTATTGTCCAAAGCTCTTTTGATTCATTCTCTTCCTCATTCTCCCACCTTTCGCCCCAGGAAACAGCCCGGCCCTATCATCTCCTTGAAAACTTGCCCCCATCCATTGTGGGGGGTTGCTGTTGGGCACCGCCTTCTCAGGCTGAACGAGTCCCAGTCCCTTGGCATCTCCTACCGGGAGAAGTGCTCCATCGCTGACCTTCTTTGTGGCCCTATGCTGAACTAGCTCAGTTTTTTAATGCCTTTTGTGTATTGCATAGCCCCAAAATGGTGTTCTAGAAAATAACCTACTGGACTTGTAAGAAAGGCTATCCTCACCAGGAAGATTAAGCACCTAAATAATTAGGTAACAAACTTCCTAAATGTACTTTGTGAGAAATATGATCAAACAGACTCTTACACAGTGGCTTTTTTCTACCTGCACAGAAAGGTTTGGGGCCGTGGTATTCTTGCCCTTCCCATTTTAACTATCTATCTGTGTTTTGAAAGGACACTGATCATGGCACATGCACCACAGCAGTGCAGTAAAAAAGCATAGCACTGCTCTTCTTTAGACCAGTTTACAGGAACACCTACTTCTCAAGATACAGGTGAAGAATTGGTAGCTATTTCTTGTTTTGGATTTTTCTTTTTAAACTACCTGTTCTAGATGAAGGAACAGAGGGAGAAAGCTGGTTTGATCCGTCCTGTGCATCTGTATCAAATCAGTGCCAAAGCCAAGTCCAAGGTCATGAGTTCTTGATGTTCATACTTTGCTTTTGAATCACTGGACCACACCTAAATTCCTCATGGTATGCTTTAAGAACTGAATGTTATTTTCTGCCTTCTTAAGGGCAGAAAAAATGTGTGTTGCTGCTCTAAATTTCGGGTATGTTTGGCAGAGTGTACTTTGATGCAGGCAAACACACAGGCAAGTAGTCTGATCTCGAGCTCCTTTGGAAGGTTAGAGAATGGATGAAACAATGCAGCTGGCACATAGAAATGGAGTGGCACTTTAGAGCTTTGGAAGGTAAGAGAATGGATGAAACAATGCAGCTGGCACATAGAAATGGAGTGGCTCTTTAGTGAAATGCTTCTGTAACAAAACCTTATCTTATCATCCCTTTATTACCATCCTAATACCAGTATTTGTGGTTTCATTCTGCAAAGTTGCTTGATTTATTGTGCCTAGCTGAAGAGCTGGGGGGATTATCTTTGTGATTCAGGTTCAGAGCACAGCATCATCAACACGCTCGTGATAAAATCCTTTGCTGGTTCCTACTATAATGACATGTAAATTAAGATTTTGTAGTTTCTTTTTGTAACCTTTTTCTACTAGTGGTAGAACATGGTATTACAGTGGGGACTGTAAATATGTGTGTAGGTCATTACAAATATGACTCTCTTTTGTCTCAAACACGTTACTTTTCCAGGAGGTTATCACCTTCAGAATGACCATGGAGTGATAGTTGATTATAATACTACAGATCCACTGATACGCTGGGACTCCTATGAAAATATGGGCCCTGATGGGGAAGGTGAGTAATTTATCACAAGAGGCCAAAGCTAGATCTTCAGCAACACTATCACAGTGTTTGAATGGAAGGAAGGAGAGCTAATTTACTTGAATGTAATGCGTATTTACTAACTGTCCACTTTTGACGTGTTCAGCTACAGTGGCTCTAATGGAAAGAAAAATGTCCTATGTTATGGAGAGATTCTTGCTAATGCATTGAACTGGACTGAGAGACAGCAGATTGGTATGAATTACTTGGTACTTGTAAATTTTCTGAGAGAGCAAACAATATTATCAGGAGTGTTGCAGCAGGTACGCTAGGCTGTAAAGTCACAGATATACAAATATACATACTGTTTGCTGCTTGGTTATTTCTCTTCATAAGCATGCGTACTTTTGAAATGTCCTTTTACTGCTTAGATTATTTTCTCTATCTGCTGGTGCATGCAGAGGGTGAAAGCCTCCAACAGCAGCTTTCAGTTCTGTCTCCAGTGTATATTTTTGCCTGATGATTTGCTCGAGTGAATGACGAAAAGAGCAGTTGTGCTTTTAATGGATATATTTTTCATGGGAGGACTCGGAATGTCTCACCTGTGTGTGCACACCAGCACACATACAAGCCTGAAGTTGTTATAAGTAAAAACGTGAGAGAAAGTGTTGAATGGATGCCAAAGTCCTACATTTTAGAGCTCACTGTTATGAGAGAGACATACTCAATTAGCACTCTCTGAAGTCAGTTTTCATATATTTTTATAATCTTTTACTATCAGTGTTGGCCATCTAATGGCAACAGCAGTGAGGGCTTTGGAGGCAGAGGCATACTGGGAACTTGTTTTTTTTATTATTTGATTTTGTTTTGTTGGATTATTCTTATACAGGAGTGTTTCCTAATACTGATTATTCACCACAGACTCCAATCAGTAGCAAACTAGGAGAAAACACGGAGTAGTAGGACACAGAACAGTAGTAGTAGTACAGAAGAGTACTGATGCACAGGGCAGACAGAAACAACAGCTGATTAACACTGTACAGGGTCTACACAAGGAGTAGTATCACAGAGACTGAATCTTGGCTGAAACAGATGTCTTAGTTTCTGCCTAGGATGTTTCCAGACCATTTGTGGGTTTTTCATGTTTTTTGTGTGGTATGGGTAAGGTTTTTTGTTTGCTTTTTTTAGAACTGTAACGTGTAAACATAGCCCTCAACAAGGAATTGATGTCATAAATATTTTTAACTGCCAAGTTTGATTGGATAGATAACCGTGACCTATCTACCCTCATATATTACATTTAAGGTAGCTATATTAGTACAGGAAATTAAAAGCAGAGATAAATACGTAGGCAGCACTCTGTAGGAAGTTACATAATTTTATGTTCTGCATATCTTGAAGACCTGATCACAGACCATTAACAAGTGCAATTAACAGGCTTCCTGATGTTCAAAAGTCTCATGTGCTACAAAAAGCCTCCCCCCAGCCCCCGCCATGTAATTTGTTTGTACAGGAGGCTTTTAATTACCTGAGATACAATATAGATATAATGAGTTTGTCTGAATATAGAAATGTCTATTAGGAGTCTGGAGAAATCATGGCAGCAGAAGCATTGCTAGAGAAAGCACCAGAAGTACATGAAACCAAAATTTAAGAGGCCATGTAAGTGAGATGCCAGGGAGCATAACAGGCAGAGGATTTATTCCTACAGAGCTTAGCTAAAGGATCAGGAGGGGCTAAAACACATGCATTATATGTTAGTTACTTCTTTCTCCTAAGGCTGAGACCTGTACTCAAGAGAAAGCTAAGCTTATTCTGTTATTTCAGGTAAATATAATCTGCTATAAATACTAGAACAGACTCCTCATATGTTTTCTTTAGTGGTTCGATAACTAATGTTTTTGCATTAAAAAGACAGCTTGAATCCTAGATTTTACCACAGGTGGGAGACCATGAAGAGGGGATGCCACATTGACTCCGAGCAGTGAGCAGTGTCAAAAACCTTTGAGCCTGAACCTTCTGGCTACAACCTTTGAGATACAATCTTTTCTATACCTCAGACAAGATTAAGGTGCAAGATTTGGTACAACTGTGTAACAGCCTTCCAGTAGTGGTATGTTGTGGAAGAGACTTGTACGGAGGGTCTGTTTCAGGTCTGTTCCATGTAAGCTCCAGTCCTAGCCTTGTATAGGGACTCCACTTCAACAGGAATAATTTCTATTTCAGTAGGAATAATAAGAGAATACAATAGGTGGTGTGTGTAGAAGTCATACACCTTTTTGTTCATTTCAAAATTCTCTACCTGTGAAATTCCAGATAAAGATGAGTGGGAAGGTTAAAGCAGAACTTTGTAAAATTGCCAGGATTTCTTTTGTAGGTATGTGTGTGTGTAAAGTCTGTTTTCCAAACTGATGGGTTAAAATGGAAAAAGAGATATAAACAGGAAAGTAGTATCTGTCTTTTGAAATCCTACACCTATTTGGCCTCATTACCAGAAGAACAAAAGATGGGAGGACTTGATAAAAGAAAAATGTACCCAAAGTATTCTGATTTGTTGGCATGATTTAGTGTTACAGAAAGAAACCATGGCCTTTTAAATGAACATGAACTCTTTGGTGGTGGTAGTGGTAGAGTTGTTTATGTCTGTTTATGTTGAGTAGGCACACGATCTGCTCCCTGGATTTACTTCCTTGTTCCTCATTTGTAACAGTATAGAAATTTTGACAATTGAGAAGGAAATAAGTGATTGGAATTTCTTCTCACAAATGCTCTTTTTCTCCAGATGCCTTGAGAAATGTCTGTTGTATATGGATTTAATAGCCCTCCATAATATGTTGAAGCTTTTATTAGTTTCTGTGTTTGTATCAGATTTCCTTCTCTTCGAGTGGTACATTTGCACCAAGACTTCTATTATGCTGATTTAAAAGCCTGCCGTTGAATAGAGTACTTGGAACCACAAAAATCAGATGATCTTCATACTGTCATGTAAAAGTCTGTGATGGTTACCATTATTTTTCTCGTGGTTTTAAGACTCATGGTAGTCATTGAGTCTTATGCATGTTGTGGGCAGGAAAGGACAGAAATGACTTTTGATCTCATTGAGCCTGGTTTTATTTTTCAGCCATAAGGCATCACTACCATACAGTATATGTGTGGATTTACAAAATATAGATTATTTGCTGCAAAACAGCAGGTTGACCAGAAGGATAGGTCACCTATGGACACATATGAGTAATATCTTCTATTATTTCAAGAGACTGAAATATGTCCCCTTTCCAGCAGGTAATCATGTTTTGTCAGGACTCTGTAACTTTACAATTCACTTATTTTTATCCAGAGTTCACTGTTATTCTTCCTTTTGGTTGCTAAGCCCGTATGCATCTCCTTTATATTTAAACTGAACTTTGTGCTTTGGATTGTCTGTGATGATATTCTGGAAGTAGTATGAACCAATGTGGGTCTACTAGGTATTTGTATGTTAAAAAATATTAAAAGCAACTACTGTCCATAATTATGGCACCAGGAGGTGGAGGAAAGTGGTGGTTCGTGATAAGCTGAAAGAAATATTTCTGTGGGAACAGAAAGCTGTAAGACTAGTAGTATTTCCTCCCCCACATTGCTGACTTTTTCATATGTTTTATCAACTGAACTTAAATATTTCTATTTAAAACAATCAAACAAACCCCCACAAATCCCAAGAGCATTCCAAATGACAATTAGATTTGGAAATAATAAAAAAAGCTTGTAATGATAATTGCCTTATAATGATAATTTTGAGGATTACTACTTGCAATAGCAGACGAGATCCTGCTGCTAAAACAAAAACTTCCAAACTGAAAATGTAAGGCTGCGTTTGGATAGGAACAGTAGGTGCCATCACATTGTATGGAATCTACAGGGGATTCTGGTACAGGTCTGCGTTCCCAGGTGTTCTGAAATTCCATGTATTAAAATAAAAACAGAACCTGTTTTCAAAGAGCAGAAACCCCTTTTGGTAGAGAAGAATGGAAGGAAAAGATGGATGCTATTTTTCATTTTGTGTTGTGTGTAGCTGCTTTATCTCAACTTTAAGTAGAGATAACCCTAAGATTACTATAAAGAGAGACTGGATCAAGCATTAATAAACAAATTTGTCTTAAGTTGACACAACTGTGTCCACGCAACTGTGGACTGTGTGTGACTGTTTTTGCCACATTTAGCTTGAGTGCTTTTTGTGCCCTTTTTTTTTTTTAATAAAGAAAACTTTTAAGCATCAAAGTTTAGAATTTGCCCACATAGTATTTATTCTAGTTTAACTGAATTCAGTGGATTAACTAAAGGGATGTGTGCCAGTTTAAGACATTTCATTTGTTTTAGCAACTGCTAGATCCCTTTGCTCTCTTTAGACTTCCAGCTCTACAATCCATGGAAAAAAAATATATGGGCCTATCTTACAAATAGCTAAAAATGACAAAAGACAGATTTTCAGCAATTTTTTACAAGGCAAATTTTCTCATATGAACCTTGCTGTTCATTTGCTAGAAGAGTGGTTTTGCTTGCTAACCATGTTTGATAATCAGAAAGAAATAACTTTGGAAGCAAAAGGATGTTTTCATTCAAGCTCAATATAGTAGGACGGAATGAATCCAAATGTCTTGGGAGTGTTGGATAACAAATTTTCTAGCCTACGTATAATCGACACCAGTCATAAATACTGTTTTTTATAAACTGTCTTGCTCCAGATTTTTATTTATTTATCGTTTTATTAAGGAAAAGTATCTGAGATATGTCTCCAGGTAGACTATAGCAAACATTCTGGTATGCACCCATGTCATGTGAATCGATGGGATGTTTGATTTTATTTGACATTTTTCCCCTTTTCAACCCAAAGTAAACAGCTATTGAATTGGGATGTGCCCTCTCATGTATTTAAACACTTGGCTTCCCAGAGGGCCCCTTCAGTATTGCAAAACTCAAGGGTCGAGACAAAACTGGTTGGTTTTGGTGCCTTAAAAGGAATGCAGATGCCTACCAATGAAAACAGCAGTTTTGAT